TTGTTAGACAGGAAAACATAGGCAGGAAAGGAACAGACATTTGCCCTCTTTTCTCAAAATCATCAAATTAAAACTGATAATTTATATTGGATTCTTCTTCCCTTACTACAGCTAAAATGCTTGTATTACTACACTAGAAAGATAAAAGTCCACGTGGCATATAGCTGGCAATACTGTTTGGACGTATTTTTTAGATATTTGAAAACCTTTACAGAAACGTATGTGTAGATCTGCCACCACTGTTGTATTTTTGTCTCTCTGTGTCTCTTTTTATTTTTTTATCTCTAGTTGCTGGATTTTGAGTTAGTTTTTCCTTTATTCTGTTTTTTAAAAAAATAAACAAAACCCCACCAAAAACCTAGATAGTCTGTATTGCTTTGTTTTTGATATTAAAATGGATTACTCAAGGAAAGGGAACCTAACCACTGCTCACTCACTGCTCTTTTATCATTCTTGTCCAGTAATTTCCAGGATCAGAGTATCAGAGGGAGAAATGTGCTACAAAGCGTGAAGCACAGAGTTATGCTTAATAGCATCCTCCTCGTTCATACATACATGCATACTATTTCCAGATCATAATTTACTAGTTCATTTCCTGAATTGGGAGGTTAGGAGGTTTTGGCTAAGAACGGACCAGTGTGGTGTAATGGAGGGACTAGGATCTAGGGACCCAGGTTCAAATCTCCACTCTGCCATAGAAACAGTGGATGACCTTGGGACAGTTACACACTTTCATCCTAAACTACCTTACAGGGTTGCAAGGATAAAATGTAGGAGAGGAGACTACTGTAAGACATTTTGAGAATACTGTAAGATGCTTTGGGAAAGTTTAGTGTAGTGGTTAAGTGCGCAGACTCTAATCTGGGAGAACCAGGTTTGATTCCCCACTCCTCCACTTACAGCTGCTGGGTGACTTTGGGCAAGCCATAGTTCTGACAAGAGGTGTCCTTGAAAGGAGCTCTCTCAGTTCCACCTACCTCACAGGGTGTTTGTTGTTGGGAGGGGATGGGAAAGGAGTTTGTAAGCCGCTCTGAGATTCTGAGTGAAGGGCGGGGTATAAATATAATCTAATCTCCTCCATAAATAAATCCCAGTGAATGGAAGTGGCATTGACCATGTGTTTGTTGGTGTATAAGTTTCAGCACTATGATCAGGAGCATCTATGTGACAGTTGACAGCTGCACTGAACCAGATTCAGCCAGTTTGGACTTAGGCAGAGGCAAGCCAAGTCACCATGATTCAGCACTACTCTGATTGGTTGATCAATGTACATATGTTAATGTATTGCACTGTATTCTCTCTCTCTGATGGTGGATGGTCTCTGGCGGAGCATTTTGTTAGAGAGCTGTATAATTTGTAAATAAATTCCTGTATATAGTAACCACTGGACTGTTTCAGTGTGGTTGACTATAGAAAAGCCTCTGGTTGCAAGAAATGATTGTTGGTGAGTGCAAGTGTGACTGGGGTGCTGGTTCAACTGTTCCAGATGTGCTGCACAACAGTGTTTCCCTGCTCAAAATAATAAGATGAAGGAAGTGGGCAAGGGGTTGGCAGGATAGTAATGATCAATGTCAGTAACTGAACAATATCCAAGGCTAAATTCACCTTTCTAAAATGATTTGGGAGAGTACTGATAGCCCACCACAATTACGAAGGATTGCTTGGTTAAGATCTGTATCAAAAGCTAAAGTAACTCCATATGATAGTAAGAGAAAGAATAACCAAGAAATAAGTCTTTTGTCTGCCTGTTTTTCATCTTTCACTATTACTTTTCTTTTCTTTCTGTCCTCTTTTCTCTTCTGAAAGAATAAGCCAGGTTTATTGTCCAAGCCTCCCAGCATGCTATTCTTCAAGCACTTGCCATCATTCTTTGTTCTTTTGCTCTTGGAAATCACTAAGAAATTTCTAAACTTAGCTTGGTTGGTATTACAGCTCATAATCATTTGAACGGTCACCATACTTGAGCTCCCAGCCTCCCGGCAAAGCCATTGAAGGCCCAGGGGCTGGTTTGCTACCCTGAAGGATTGTGGGGCAAAAACAGCAGAACCATGATGCTGGGCATCATGATGTGGATGAGGGGCAAAGCCTTCACCGCAAAAGTTGGGGCTCCACTCCCGCCTAGGGGCAGTTACTTTGCATGCTCAAGCTGAATGGAGTTTGGAGCACTTGGGTGGAGAAGGACGCAGCTGACCTCGAAGGCCACGGGGGACTGGCAGGTGCTCCGAGTGAGGGGAGTGACTCAGGGGAGATGGCAACTCAGCCCGGGCAGCAGCAGCAGCCTGGTGTGATCTGTGGTGGCTCTGGGTGGCTCAGCGGTCTGGGGGAGGCTTCGCCTGGTGCTTGACGGTTGGAAGGCAGTGGTCTTTGGCAGAGATGTGATTTGCTGGCAGCGAGTGGCAGTGGCTGTGCTAAGTGGCAACAGCTGTGTCCCAGCTGGGGGATATATTTAATGCAGAAGTCACCAGGGGGAGGGGAATAACAGCACCAGCTTGGGGGGAAACCTGATAAAGGGCCTGGTGTATGTCCTTGGTAGCTTCAGGGGATTGGTGTTTCAGGGGAGGTGGTTCCCAGGCGATAGGGTCATCAATTGGGCAGGCCTGCCAGTGGCCCTAAAACTGCATCCACCTTGAAGGATAGGGGGGCATTATAGGCCTGGCCTAACAGTCCCCAGCTACAGGGATCAGGCGAGTGAGTTAACGGACTAGGGCATGAACCTGGCCGATCGGCTAGGGGGTGTGGTTAAGCCCTACAGAATTTCAAAACACATGCACACACACACACGCATGCACACATGCACACACACACACAAAACAACGGCTTAAAGGAGCATTAACAGCCCTGGGCACTGCATAAGAAAATAAAAGAAGCCAATGTTGGATCAGGCCAATGGCCCATCCAATACAACACTCTGTCACATAGTGGCCAAGAATACCAGGTACCATCAGGAGGTCCAGCAGTGGGGCCAGGACACCAGAAGCCTACCCACTGTTGCCCCACCCCAAGCATCAAGAACAGGGAGCATAACGTGTCCCTGCCTGTGAGTTCCTACCTATACCTCATGGCTAATAGCCACTGATGGAGCTGCGGTGGCTCAAGTGGTTAAGACGCTGAACTGCAGGCTGTGGAAGGTCAGTAGTTCAGCAGTTCAAGACCCGGGTGCCGCAAGACAGGGTGAGCTCCTGTCTCTAGTTCCAGCTCCTGCCAACCTAGCAGTTCGAAAGCAAGAAATTGCAAGTAGATAAATAGGGACCACTTCGGTGGGAAGGTAACAGCGTTCCGTGCGCCTTGGTGTTTAGTCATGCCGGCCACATGACCACGGAAACGTCTTCGGACAGCGCTGGCTCTTTGGCTTTGAAACGGAGATGAGCACTGCAACCCTAGAGTCGGATTCAACTGGCTTTCGAGCAAGGGAACCTTTACCTTTAATAGCCACTGATGGACCTCTACTCCATATGTTTACCCAGTTCCCTCTTGAGGCTGTTCATGCCTTTAGCCACCACCACCTCCTGTGGTGGTGAATTCCATGTGCTAATCACTCTGGGGAAGAAGTACTTCCTTTTATCCTGACTGCTCAGCGATTTCATTGAGTGCTTACAAGTTCTTGTATTGTCAGGAAGGGAGAAAAGTACTTCTTTCTTGACCTGCTCTATCCCATGCATAATCCTGTAAACCTCAATCATGTCACCCCTCAGCTGTCATTTCTCCAAGCTAAAGAGCCCTAGGCATTTTAACATTTCTGCATAGGGAAGGCATTCCATACTCTGTGGTGGCTGGCAAGAGCAGGCAGGGGGCAGAGTAGGCTTAAGGGCTTCTGTCTGTACTGCAGGGTGGCCATTTTGGATACTGTTTTTTAGTTTGGAAGCAATTTTAGGCTTGACTTGCTGGGTAGCTGTTTGGAGGCTATTGCCTTTGGGTCGGGTCCACCCAGCATTTATAGCATTTTACAATGACTAGGCAAAGGCCCTGCAGTAGCTGTTAAGAGCCTGTAAGGGTCATGTGGTCTTGAAGGCTTCTATCTGCATTCCTGGGAGGCCATTTTGAGAGGGCATCTTTGGAGCAGCCATCTTGGGTAGGTCTTATAGGTCAGCCAACTTGGGGGGGGGTACCTTCCAAGGTGGCCATTTTAAGAAGGGGTTTTCCAGTGGTCATTTTGTAATACTCTGCTGGTTGGCCATTTTAGTTGACTGCCAGCTTATGTGTAATTTAATATTGAGCAATGGCTCCTAAAAAAAGGCCAGGGAGCTTCTACAGGCAAGCAGCCAGTCCTGGAGAAGCCGTCCCAGAAGCCTCAACAGCAGCCCAATATGTCATACTCCTCTGATGAGGATGAGCAAAACCTAGTCAATGCAGTCATCCTAGAGAGGCTAGTGGTCCTAGATAATCAACGGGGCGAGTGTCCTCCATTGCATGACATATCTAAAGCTTCTTCTGTACAATCCTTTCAGGTTCAGGCGTTGGCTCGCTTAGCTCTTCTCGAGGACAGAGAGGGCAAAGTAGCCTCAATGTCAGGTCAGATGGTCCGGAGGCAGCGCTCAGATGACAAGCCTGAGAGCCAGGTTGCAGAGGAGCTCCAGGTGGAGCTTTATAACGAACCTCCAAGGAGGGAAGGTAAGTTATTGACCATGGGGCCCCTGCCCTCAAGGTGCCACCAGATATGCCACACACACCACACAGGGTAGTGTTGCCCACACAATGCCAGGTGGATGGTCAACCTATGCAGGAGTGGGAGTTATGACCCAGCCACCTCCTCAAAGAATTTGGCCTGAAATGGGCTACTCAAATTCAGGTGCTGTTTTTTCAAATCCTGGAGTTTCTGCATATGACACGTTGTCAGCGAGTGCCATTCCTTTGGGGGTCTGGCTTTGCCACTAAGGATAAATTCCTTATGGGGAAGTTTGTTGATGGTTTTACATTATTATACTGGGAACTGGAGAAGAAAGATAAGGAGGACCTAGACAAGTGGGGGAAGGAGTGCCTGAAGAGGCGCAGGGTGGACAGGACCTGGGTAAATCTTGTTCCCAGGATTCTTAATATATGTGGCAGTAATAGTGAGGCACCAGCCATGGAGGGTTTCTGCGATGCTACAGTATATGGACATCATTTATAAGGGCTTTACCGATTTCCCAAGCCCTGCATGGCTTTGCTTTGATGAAGAGTTCCGAATGAGGGCAGCCATGAATCTGGCCTTGAGATGGGACAAGATTCACCTGCACTTATGACTGCAAATCATGTCTTCTGAATGGCCAGCCAACTTACATTTGCAGATGAGGTTGTGGCGCCCAGCCAGGCTTTTGTTAGGAGACTATGTGAGTCCATGAGAGGCCTCCATCTCTCACAACAAGGACCTGGGTAACTAAGGGTATATGGGATGACCTCCTTGTATGGAAGGAATCTTTGGACTCATTAAGGGGGGTCTTTTGATGGCTGAGTTGCAGGTCACATCCTCCGGGTTTGCAGTCTAATTTTGCTAACAGTGGTCTTGCCCTTCCACCCGGAGGGCTTATAAGAGGGTGGGTAAGTAAGCAGTTCCTGTCCTTTGGGGAGGAAGCAGGTCTGAAGTAAGCTTGGCCCATATCAGTTTCCCATCTGATGCAGTTTTGAGTGTCACTGAGGTAAGGGCCTGTTACCCATTAGGGGCAAGCTGTGATCTCTCGCCTATGCCAGCATGGCATCTGGGTTTGAGAAGAAGATGGGTGATTTCCACATTGGGACGATGCTTGAGGTCTGGTCAAGGTTGCCTTCTTTGGAGGGGTGCTGTGGATCAGTGAGCTAGTGGCAGGCTTTCGCCTAACAGTAGAAGAATGGAATTGCAAAGTTTGACGTTATTAATGCCGTTTTCTGGGTTCCAAGGGTCTGGAAAGTGGTTCCATAGCCAATTACACAGTTACCTATAGATTTGAGGGGTAGAGCCTGGGGACAGAAGGTCTTGGGGTGTGGAGGGACTTCAGCAGTCTATAATGCCATGGAGTCCATTGCCCACTCTCCAGGAGAACTGATCTTGGTCAACTGGACATCAGTTTTAATAGCTGGAGATCTCCAGGTGCCACGTGGAGGTTGGCTTATGTTAATTTGGGGCTATGCAGTGACAGCCAAGGTAGAAAAGCACCTCCTCCTATGCCCTGTTTCTTGGGTTCCAAGGGTCTGGAAAGTGGTTCCATAGCCAGTTACATGGTTGTCAACTCTGGGTTGGGAAATACCTGTAGATTTGAGGGGTAGAGCCTGGGGGAGGGCAGGGTTTGGGATGCAGGGGGACTTCAGCAGGGTATAATGCCATGGACTCCACTGCCCAAAGTAGCCCTTGTCTCCAGGAGAACTGATCTTGATCATCTGGAGATCAGTTGTAATAGCTGGGAAATTTTCTGTAGGGGAAATGACATGCTGTGGCTGGGTAACACGGTGATTTCTGGGAGATCTCTAGGTCCCACAGGGAGACTGGCAACTCCAGTGACCATTTAAGGGAACATTGGGATGTGTATTTTACATCAGGGCACATTTAGTGACTCCCAACAGTAACAGCAAACTGTTTAGAATGTTGGAGGCAGGACTCAGGCAACACAGCCAGTGAAAAGGGACACCTTCTGAGTGACAGATCAGGGAGTCAACTGACTTGGGAGCACATTGAATATTCAGCAAAGTGCCACCCGAAAACACAATTATATATAAGGAGAGATAGTCTTATATCTTATAGTATTGTCTTATATCTTATAGTCAAATCAATTTGGTATAATATTGTTGGACTTAAAATGAGCAATAACTGGATCCCAGTAGTTATGCATATGGTCAGTTGAAGTTAATAAAGAATTTCCTAAAAAAGCATTTTGGGTAATTTGAGACATGATGAATGTTTCCCAAACCATATTATACCATGCTTCAAGTGTGACTTCAGTGGAGTCTTTCCAGCAAATGGCAATGGTATGCCTGGCTGCAGCTACCAGCAGAGAAATAAACACTTCCTTACATTTTTGCACTGGAATATCTGTCCAGCGATCTAAAAGCAAAAATTCAGGACTAAAAAGGATGTTCACTCCCAACCATTCCACAATTCGGTGCCTGACTTCTGACCAAAAGCATGCCACTTCCTGACACTCCCACCATAGATGAAAGTATATTCCCAACAGGCCGCATTTTTTCTAACAATATGGAATATGGTTAGTATCGATCCTATGGAGATGGCTGAGTGTCTTATACTAAAATCGGAGTTGAATCAGTTGGGGAATGCTGTATCTTGTTCCAACCCTCTAAAGACAAATCTATTGGGAGGATTTTTGCCCATTTGTTTCTTAAGATTTTCCAACAATATGGAGTATGGTTAATATTGATCCTATGGAGATGGCTGGGTGTCATGTATCAGTTTGCTATGAGTTTAAAAAATTGAGTTTTAACACTAAAAATTGGAGATGAATTAGATAGGGAACGCCATATCTTGTCCCAATCATCAAAAAAACAAACCAATTGGGAGGATTTTTGCCCATTTGTTTTTTAAGAATATTCTTCTGACTGCAGCTCCTGGGATTATACACAAATAGAAATGTGTGAAGTGTGAAGCAGTATTTTTTAATAATTAAGACATTTAATTAATTCCCTTGACCTGGATAGCACAGGCTAGCTCAATCTTCTCAGATTGCAGAAGCTAAGCAGGGTCAGCCCTGGCTAGTATTTAGATGTGTGACCTCCAAGGAATACCAGGGTTGTGACATGGAGGCAGGCTATGGCAAACCACCACTGAACACCTCTTGCCTTGAAAAACCTATGGGGTTGCCATAAGTCAGCTGTGACTTGATGGCACTCTCCGCTTCCACCACCAATTAAACAAGTCCTGTTAGACTTCTTATTTCCCTTGGAGGGATTTAGAAGACAGAAGGAGTATACTTGTCTTTGGCATGGCATATCACATGACTTATCACTATTTTTATATACTTTAACTTTCTTTGGACCACAGAGACCTTGTCTTTGAATATTTTATTGTGTGGGGCCCGCTATACTTTTCAAAAGAAGAGAACATCTTACTGCATTCAGACATATCACAGTGATGCAGCATACATCCTTCTTTCTGTTAATGTGACCAGGTTTTTTAGATGCTGTGCAAATTATTTGGGGGGTTTTTCCCCTTAGTGTCCTGAATATAGAGGGTTGAACATGATTTCCTTAAATCCATATGGATTCTGTAAACCCATATATTTTTGAAGAGTATTACTTCTAGTTTAAAGACCAAGGCAGACTAAGAAATCCAAGATTTTCTCAAAGAGCAAAGGCAATTAAAGGTACGTGTATTTATGCTTATTAATTTAATGGTATTATCTCCTAGTACTTCACTCATCCAATGACAATCAGCTGGTTCCCACCAGTTTTCTGCTGTGGAAAAACTAAAAGAAAGGTCCAGTCTGACTTCTCTAAAATACTTTGCTAAAGATCGTAGGACCAACACTAAGCCATGTAGGAAAGGTGCTTCATTCAGTAAGGAGAAGAACTGGACAAGATAGTGTGGGAAAGCTGGCTGAATCCCACCAAGTATCCACTTCTACTGCAAGAAGATTTCTGCAGGCAGAAGAACTCCTTGTGCTAGAGGAAGTTTCCTTGCATCAGAAGAGAATGCCACCATATGTTGAGTAGCATAGTTAGACACAACACATTGTCGTTTGACCCTCTCCTGAGAAACTGTTATTTGAGAGATATATCCAGTTAAGTTAATATTTGGGAAAGTTTGAGCAGTAACTGTGAGTGACCAGACTGCATCATGCCAAGCCAAATTACTCAAATTAGGACTGCTTGTGAAGAAATTACAAAACATAAACTGTGATCACATACACTAAATAATCCACTTTCAGTGCACTTTCCAACAGGATTTTGCCAATTCACACAGTAAAATCCAGTTATGGAATTCAGCATGCATCCTAACACACAGGACCATTTAAATCTTCAGAATAATATTCTAGCTTTCCAAGACAGGTTTCCACATACTTTTACATTCATTAGACTGAGAACCACAAGGGCAAGTGTGTGATATGTGTGACTCACCCAGATGTGCACACAAAGGCATGTACAAAAAACAAAAAGAAATCTGGCAAATCAGGTGTTTGGGAAGGCTGTGTGGATCTAATCTTTCCATATCTCCCTGAGTCACAAAATGAGAGGTTCCAACTCCTTTTTCTGGGCCAAACATGATGATATAAATGAAGAATTTCAAGCCAAAAACAGCAATAGCCTTACTGAAGAAATAACAGCTGTATCTTAAACCTGCTTTAACCCTTATGTTGTGTGGATTTCCATTTGTTCATTTCAGTGGCTTCACAATAATATGCAATTTAACTTTTCTGTTCTTTTCTGTTAACGTTACAACCCTATTAGATGGTTTATCCAAAATTGCTTGGTAAAATCTTTCATTAACCTTCTAAAAATCAGTATCTTTTGTCTAATTCATTTAATTTTTGTTGGACTCGGCTCTGTTAAAAACAACAACATGTGGATGTGATGACTAAAGTGGCTTATTTTTGGCCAACATCTAGTGTGGGGATGAGCCTGTTATCTAGAGTTGGCCAATCTAGTCATGCTGATGCAAGTTGCGAAGTAACGTTAAGGTGAGATTTATTTTAGATGCTCTATACAGGGCTGATGGTTAAGGCAACCTGAAAAATTCAGCTAATGTAAAATGTGGCAGCTTGGTTGTTGATGTTTTGGGTGCATGTTTGTTTCCAAGCCCAGCTCAAGACTAGGATTGGATTTTGTGATAATCATAATGAGAAAAATATGGTCATTATAGTACAAATCCTAATGGCTGAAAAATAAGTCTGGCTGTTATGCTTTGGGGCTGGCTCCTGAAGCCAAAGAAAATGTGTCGAGGGCAAAATTTGCTAATACATTTCTTTCTGTTCACGTCCCTTGCTTCAGATCAGCTTCTATGCAGGAAGTAGGAGAAAATGAAACAGAAGTGACTGAATTTATCCTCATTGGCTGGTCAGGACGACCCAAGGAAAGGATGACTCTAATGGCTTTCTTGATTGTTGCTTATGCAGTAACAGCTGTTGGAAATGGACTCATCGTGTTAGTGGTTGTAACCGATCCACGGCTCCACAACCCCATGTATTTCTTCCTCTGTAATTTGTCCATCCTTGATCTCTGCCTCATAACAACTGGGGTCCCACAATCTATAGCCAACTGTTTAGTGGACCGCCCTGTTATGTCTCTTCCTTTGTGCTTCACCCAAATCTATGTTGGTTTATGCTTTGGATCAACTGAATGTTTACTCCTGGCTGTCATGGCTTATGACCGTTACGTTGCTATCTCCAACCCACTGCGCTACACACTCATCATGAATATGAGGGTTTGTATTGTGTTAGCCACTGTGACATGGACTACAGCCTTTATGCTTACTGTTGTGCCCTGTCTTGCTAAACCAGCTAAATTCTGTGGAAATAATGAAGTCGACCATTTGTCATGTGAATTTAAATCTGTATTTAAGCTGATTTGTACAGATACATCTTTGAGCCAAATAAGCATTTACTTTACCAGCAGCTTTACATTAGTCTTCCCCCTAAGCTTTATCCTTTTTTCCTATTTGCGCATTCTAGTGACCATCCTGAGGATGCATTCAGAAGGAGGCAGGATGAAGGCTTTTTCCACATGTGGGTCCCATCTTGCTGTGGTGTCCCTGTACTATGGCACTTGTATCTTTGCCTATCTTCTTCCTCAGACAAAGAGCACAAGTAACCTTGAAAAAAATGTGTCTATATTTTATGGAGTGGTGACACCTATGTTGAACCCTTTAATTTATACCCTAAGAAATCAAGAAGTCATGGGAGCACTGAAGAGACTGCTAAATACAAAAGATGTCACATAAGATGTTATGCATGTCAGTAGGTAAATGCTTTTCTTAATGATGGGTAGCAAAATTCAGCTGATGTTTTTCCTGTTACATAATTTCTCTTTTCCCTCTGTTTTGACAAGCTGTTGTTTATCACATACCTCCTGTTCAGAAAAAAAAAGGCTTGTTGCCAAATTCTGGGCTGGATCCACCCAGCCATTTTCATCAGTCTTGCCAATTCTCTTCCTTCATGTATCCTCCTTTCTTTTGTTTATGTAAGTCCTGTGATTCTAACTCACCATAGTCTTTGGTAATGAAAAGTGGTCCCTCCTCCCTCTTTTGCCAGTGGAAATCCTCATAGAATCCAATCCCATAACTTTACAATATCTTCGTGACATTACCATTTTTCTGTGTTTGGATCCAGACTAGATGTTTCCACAGGGGCAAAAGATTCTACCTACGGAGCATGATTTTTCCATCAAACCCCATTCATAGCATTGCAAAATTTCCACCACTGGCTGGTAACAGGAACCCCCAGCAACAAGTCAGGGGTCATCTTCTGCCTTTCCATCAAAACTACTGTATGGTAGGTTTCAAAATATTCCTAAGCATGAACGGAGATGTGACTGCGGTTCTAACTCTCTCGATTCAATTGATCACATATTCTTAGACTGTTCATGGCATGTATCTGCTAGGGAAAAATGGTTAAACACTTGGTTGTGTTTGGATCCAGACTAGATGTTTCCACAGGGGCAAAAAATTCTACCTACAAAGCATGATTTTTCCATCAAACCCCATTCATAGCATTGCAAAGTTGCCACCACTGGCCGGTAACAGGAACCCCCAGCAACAAGATTTTAGGGGTCATTTTCGGCTGCCACAGGAGGGGAAAGGCAGGAAAATCAAGCTTTGTAGATGACCGGCAGAACTAGTGGTCAAGATCCAACCCTTTCTCTCTTCCTTGAAAGAGGAACAATACCTGGATCCATATCTCAGTGGAATATTTGCATTTTGCAGAGCTGTTGCTTCATTCCTAAACACAGGAACCATTGCATTTGGCCAAGACTCCATCTCAGTGTTTCTTCAATAAGAACTTATCACTGTAAAGAAGTGAATTTGGTAACTATCTCAATAGTGGAACTTCAAAGTTTCAATTATTTTAAAGGTACTCAGCAGATCCACAGGAGCATTGACCCCACAACCCAATTGGGATGCACTTTTTCTCTATTGCTTTTCATGCTGCCTGAAAGGGAAAGCTGCCATAAACAGGTTCTTCTGTCTTCCCCACCAACCCATAAGTCCAAACAACATGAGTCCAACAATGGGAGTCCAACCCCCCCCCAGGTTTGTTTGTTTGTTTGTTTTAATGGAGTGGGCCATGACAGCTACTCCCAACCCAAAATGAACCCAGACATTGTGTTGGTTCAGGGATATCTGAATGCATGCTGCTAGTACAGCAGTATTCACCTGATTTTCCCATTGTATAATATTCTTTCTTTGATTCATCACCATAATTTCTCACTTATGGGGATACCATTGGCTGAATCCACAATTCATCCAAAGTGTGATTTGTACATAGTTCTTGTACTCTTCTAAAACATAGTGAACATTGCATTTGCTCAGCATCTTGATTCTTCCAAAGTGAGAACATACTGATTCTAACAATGGATCTTGAATCTAACAATGGATTCTAATAATGTATTTTGTATCCAGCCCAGCATTCTGTTGAGAGCATCCTGGTAGATGTTCCAGGGAGGCCTGCAAGTGGGACATAATGGTCAAAGCCATTCTCTGTTTCAGAATTATGCTTATTTCAAAGGTGGAGGTTTTATTTCATAAAAAGAGTCATTGGCTGTTTATTACTTTAGGTCATCACTTTCATGTATGTGTTTTATAACTGTACAAGGGGTCATTCAAAACTAAACTAAACTTCTTTCAGTGACCTAGTGTTTGTTTTACTTACTTTTTAAATAGAAAGAGTATATGTAATCCCCCCCCCAAAAAAAATTCGGTCATTGTATCAACATGTGTCACATCCAAATCAATCTTTCTTATAGGTGAAATGTCACAACTCTTTTTAAAATCTTCATATTATATGGGAAAATAAGCCATAATTTCAAGTTTGAATTCATCATGGATAATTTCATTGATGTTCATGGTTTTATGATAATATATGAAATTTAGTACTTAAAATATGTATCTATTTTATTTGCTTTGTTTTTAGTCCACCTTTCTTATTTAGACTCAAGGCAGATTACCTAGAATGAGTCAGTACAATCAACAGATGGGACATTCAATAAGCAATGCGATAGAATAAGGTTTGTAGAACTAACCAGAAGACTAAAAACAGAACTGGAGGAGGTATATTATGACCACACTGGGGACAGTGCTGAAAAATTTAGACTGCCCCATCCTGTGCTTGATCCAACACTTGAAATTATGCTCAAAATTCTGTATCAGAAATTTGTGGCATATGTATAAACATATTTGGCTGTGCATGCAACTCCTCTGGATTAGGGTAACCAAGAGCAATGGAATATAGCTTAAAGCAATTAATCATGTAGAATGTATGTTAGCAAGCAGAAATGACAAATCTCTGTGACAATTTTTCAAGGCCATCAATCTGAAACGAAGTTGTAACTACAGAAATAGTTTCAAATGTAGCTGTTTAGATACAACAGTGTGAGCAACTTGCAGGTTGATGAAACATCATTTAGGTATACCATTCTCTTTGAAATGAATGGGACCTGACACGCACATTGTTTCATAGCAATCTCTTCCAATCTCTGCCATAACATCTTATGACTGTGTCTCACAAGTCTTTTGTAGTCTTCTTTGTACACATGTGCTGCACAGAATAAACTTTAAGAAGCATGATCATTTGACACTGAGTTCTTAATTTCATGATTGCATCATGGATTTTGTTTTTAAAGTGACATTTTGACACTCAGTTCCATTCCCATTGATTGAGGAGGAGTCTATTTCTAGACAAAACAGGAAGGTATGGTTTAGGAAAGTCATCCTTTTCTGACTCCACCTCCACACCATTTTGCTATGTTCCAATGTAGGAAGCAAAGTTTCACCTGGCCAGGCTCTGACACAAGAAGAAAATTGGGCTGGGAGGGAATGTGTCTGAAGAAACAAAGCACAGAGAAGTAAGGCATGAGAGCAGCCAGTGTTTAGCTCCCCTTACTTGTGTAGTCCATTTTTGTAAAAAATAAAATAAAGGATCCCTCTGCCCCAAATCCCAGGATTCAAGGAAAGGAGGGAACAGTTAATTACCTCTTTGAGTCCACTCTGCAAGTGAGAATACCAGCCTTGAGAACGTGAAAGCTCTTTCCTATCTTCCTCAAATTTAAGAGGAAAGATCCGAATTGTGACAGGTGGGGGGGATTACAGTTGCTTACATCTATCCTCAAGTGAAACTTCTGAGGAAGTTTTAAGGGTAGCCAAAAGTGTCTCAATAAGAGCTGCAACATTTTCAGCTGCATCCCATAAAGCATTTCCCCCCCAAAAAAAGAAAATAAAATCACAACAGTTCTTGAACCCATTATTCCAAAACATCCATGGATCAGTGTTACTACTTTTTGTGAGGAAGTTTTGAGGAGGGTAACTTCCATTTGCATGTACTTAATACCTATAGATCTTGCTCAAGTGCTCTAAAAGGGGATGCGGCACAAAGGTCTTGATCCCGGGGTGGAAACTACCAACCTAGTACCTGGATTGTTGCCACCGAAATGCATGACATGACCTGGGGAGGCGCTCCTGCCAACTGACAATCATCTGGACATGCTGACTGTTATACCGTTGACCTCTGTCCTCGTGCCACATCCTGAAAGCAATACAACATGAGCCAGCACCAGTAACTGCCATCAGCACCTTCTGCATGGGGCCTCCTGGGGCCCAATGCCATACCTCAGAGGGACAAGACTCCCGTCCATGTGGCCCCGAAAGCTGCTTCAAAGCTGCAGAGTGTGTACCAAAGTAATCCACCCTGCTATCCATTCAGGCCACTCACTTGGCCACCCTGACTTCTAGGCCCCCCTCCACTACAAGTTGCTCCCTCCATCTAGGCAATACCTCGAAAAATAGTGGGTGAAGGGCTGCCTGGTGCCAGGCACCCATGGTGCTGCCCCTCTGCCTAGCCTCACTGTGCCCCCAACGTGGGTTCCCCTTGATTGCCCCCCAGCTGAATTGTTCTCACTGCCAGATGCCCCCTAATGGCCCTGGCCCCTGGGCTCCTCATCCTTGGCGATGCCCCCATCACAAGAGGATGTGGGGTGTGAACCCCCAAACATGCTGCAAGCATGCTTAAACTTGCATGGTTTCCTTGAGCATTTCCCAGAAGTATTGAAGCCCCAGCATATGAGGTGGAGTGGCAGCCCCTGATTCTAGCCAGCTTCCCACACAGTTCCCAAGTACTCAAGCATCACCATGTGTCGGCTGTCAGCATACCTGCCTGAATGGCCCCCATGGGGTCCATGCATTGGGACCAGAACTGTTGGTGCTCCTGATCCCATGGCAATGAGGGGTCCAAGGCTGCTCATGAGTGGAACCTCTCATTGTAACACAGCCAAGCGGGCCCTGAGTATTCCCTATATGACCTGTGAATGCTCATGAGCGGAACCTCTCATTGTAACACAGCCTAGTGAGCCCTGAGTATTCCCTATATGACCTGTGAATGAATTCCTGATACTTTACCAATGCTGTCCCCTGTCCTGGGTTGGCCTGCAGCACCACCCCCATGTAAATGGTGTAAGTTGAAAGTCAATTCTCAAAGTTCTTGTCAATTTGCATCCTCTTTATTTTCTCTAACTCCCTGGAGTCATCTCTCACACCCGCTTTCACCTCCACATCCCTAAAGAGGAGTGGATGATCCCAGCAGGTGATCCCCCAGTGGGAGAGACCTTTCCATGTAAGCATAGGGAAGGTTCGCTGCCGGGTCCTGCTGCCCCCCACCCCACAATGGTGCTTGCCCAGTGTCCCAGTATGGAGGGCCTTGCCTCCTTGGGTCAAGTCCCACTGCCATGGGCCCC